GAGTTAAAATACAGAAAACTGTTTTTTAGGCAATGGTTTAAAAAGTGACATTAATGAAGGCATTTTTCAGTCAATAAATGATCTGAAATATTACCAATTGACCAGTTAGATATCTAATCAGTCATAAGTTCCATTATTCATCAAATACATGCTAAACGCTCACTACCAAATTCATCCAAACGTTACAAATGGAATTTTACTCACGAACCAATGCCCTACGTTTCAAGAGACCAATATTGTCAACACTTAAGCATCTAATATCCAATTCCTCACATGGATCTTTTCGTCTGATGGATTATTGTTGAACTTTTCTCATGAAGTCTGAGTAATAAAACTCTATTTCATAGATTCTTTTTCAAGTAGAGGCATTATTATGAAATCTTCTATATCTTTTAGGATAGCCAGTGAAAGAATATTAAATAAAAATGTTAGTATTAGTTATTCGAGTTAATTAATATTCTTCAAAATGTGAACTATTTGTTCACAAACATTTAAATGAGGAATGATTAAATGGTATTACACGTAATCCTGACAAAAGGTGGAGATGAAAGAGTATGTCAGTATCTGGAAGAAGATTAAAAAAGGTATCTACTGCTTTTAAATAGATTTGCTAATTATCGGTTTTTGTGGTTTTTGATTTACAAAAACGACAATCTAAGCAGGAAAGGGAGAACACAGTTTCCACACGATCAGCTAAAAGGGTCAAAACTTTGGAACCCCTTTGAAATCTGTTTTAAAAGTTCAGCTACTTTGATTTTATTTTTTTCTGCTGCAGAACCATGAGAAGTTATTTTAACTGAATTGCATACGTAACTCCTAGAGTGTAGACAGTTGCGATTATTTGTTCACTTCATCAAAATGCTTTTTTAAATTCTTGCTACATCTGTATTACCAGGTCCTGGAGAAACGAAGGTGAAAGAGGCCCAGGAGAAGCCAAATCCTCTTTGCTATGTCTAACAAAGGAAATGCCATTCTTGCCACTAACTCTTGGAATGATTTCCAAGTTCTCTAAAAATAATTTAACCTGTGTCAAATAGCTGTGTCATCTGGAAAACTCAATAAATGAATGTAGAAAGTTAGGAAGAGTAGAGGGAAAGTTAGGTGTTAAACTGAAATGGTATATCCCAGGCATGTGAGATCGATACTCCAAATTAGCCAGCACACTTCCATACATCTGCTCACTTTTCTTTAAACTTGAGAGATATTATTGCAGAAAAGTGTAATAATCCCCACTCTGTTCTTGTATTTCGAATGAAAGATCCTGAAACCTCACAGCATAGGCACCTTTATGAAGGCATATTATGGGTGGATTAATTTCTCTTGGGGTCAGCATTTCTACCTTCAGAGGGGGAGATTATATAGGGAGGAAAATTCAGAGAGGTAATATAAAATATTTGTACCCCATGATGATGATAGTAATTTGACATTGAACTTTAGTTTTAAGAGGACATGCCTATTAAATTATGCTTCACTTTAAACAACAGTTGAATTCTCTAAAATTTTGCACAAAATATTTCTTGGTAGCCAAATCCCACGTCACTATTCCTAAATAGCTGTTCCCATGTGGAAAGCTCAGTAAATCCCCATAAACGTAAGAAGTATGCTTTATTTATTTCTTCAAAAATGTGGGTCACTGTAAACTATTTTCTTAACTTGAAGCATTTTTAACATAGCAGTCATTCAAAAATGAATTTTGTAATTCTATGATTTTGCAAGGAAGTTCTGTTTTATAATTTTCCGGTTGTTAAATTATTTAAGATGAACATTTATTCTATGCTGGTCCATGAATGAAATGTCATTGCCTAGAACGATTTTCAAACATCTGCTAGTGTCCTCAAACGGAAGAACTGGAATATTTTTGGGAGGGATGACTTATCACATGGCTATTAACTTTTGCAGGCCACCACCTAAATCCAAAGTTTTCAAGGCGACCAAAAGTAAAATGGAAACATTCTGGATTTTAAACGTTGTTCTATTTTCTTTTTTGATACAAAAGACACCTATAAAAATTTTTTAAAGAAAAAGTGTTACAGTGACTTGCTCTAGTTCCTGTTGACTGGCGTAAGGATGAAAGCGAAACAGTTTGTCTAAGGGGCCATGTGATAGTGCAAACACAGGTTCATGCTACGACTTTGCCTGCTCACTCTCATAATTTGTTTTAGAGCTTGGGGTGGGAAAGGGAATGAAAGGAGATAATGTATGGTCCATTTGCTACTTGCCAAGAACTGTGCTTAACATTTTACACATGGCTTCTCATTATAAAGAGTTAAGCAGCATATAAGGGAAAAAATTCAACCAAAAAAATCTCTTACTCTTTATTTTTTCCTGCCAAATCTAGAGTTTCTCATCTGTCTTAACAGGAGATAGCATCTCTAGTAAGAAGGAGAGACCTGGTTTCTTGCTTTTTTACCCCGTTTCCAGTTACTGTTTTTTAAAGCCTTGAAATGAAGAGAGTCCAGCAGTGGATGGCAGCCCAAGAGGAATGCTGCCTTTATATATCTTATTCTCTGTGCAGGTCACATGGGGATAGCTGAGAGAAACTTGAAAAATAATTTAAGGTCAGGAAATTGAGCGAATATTCAGAATAAAACATAGTTTTCAATTGATTTGATAAAAATAGTTAAATTTAAACATAAAAATAAAACTTGAATTCCAAATACTATAGATTAAAAAAAGGGATAAGTTGATTGCAGCTATTTTAAGACTAACCCAAATTTATAAGTAATTTCTTAGAAAGTTGTCTAATCAAGTCCTTTATGTCATTTAATAATATTAAATCTGGCATGGAAGCCTATTATAGGTATGCTATATCTCTGTTAAATGTGCTGAGATATAGGAAGAAAAAATGTTAAATAAAGATCAGAAGCTATCCTGAATTGATAACACGAAGTATTTTTCATAAATCCTCAGTCAATTCTATCCTAAATCAGTTTTGATTTAAAAGCTACTCTAGACGTTATGCATAAGTCAAATGTCTAGTCATATAATTTCAATATTCTCTATTTTTATCCCAATAAGGCATGGGTTACATGAGTAACCACATTTCCAATCAAGAAAATTATTGTTCTTTGATGTGAATTAACCTAGTAGTCTGAAATTTCAAATGCTTATAAGCTACTTGAGAACAAAATTTAATCATATTTATTGCATTATCTTTCTTGGGCTTATCACAGGGCTCATGCTTCAAACGGCTGTAGAGCTGACGTAAATGATGAGCAATTTGGGTCAAGATTACCAATGTGGATTAAAAGCCTGATTCCAATCAGGCCCTACCCTATGGGAAATTGGTGTCCCCCAGAGCAGACTAAGCACTGGCCTTGATCACTTTGACCCACTTTCTTCCTGTCTGCTGACCAGTGATGGGGAGAACACCACTAAATATTTTGATGATTCATCATAAGTGTGCACGTCATAGTTTTACCCTGATCTTTATGTGGCTAAAGTCTTAATAGTCTCCCACACCAAGAGTCATGTTTGAAATACAATACATTAACAATCTGAAGCAGACTTAGCTGTGAAGCAGGATACTGAGAATAAATAGATGAAATTCTAGACATTTCTAAAGAGGACTCAGCTACTTAATGGCCACTGAGGTCTTCAGTGAATAGGTGTGAATATTTCAGTGCAGTCCAACCTGAACTGAAAAGCAGTTTTTACTTCCAAATTTAAATACCGCCTGTGCATATAAAAAAAGAGGTTCATTTATTAGTCCAAAATGTTACTACGGCTGGGATCTTGAAAAAACATTCTCTTTTTCTTAGGCATGTTCTTCAGCAAAAGGAAGCTGGGAAGGGTAGGCTAGAGAATGGAACTTATGCTTGGAGGCCATAAACTTGAGACGTCCTGTTTTTCACCTCTCAATAGGCGAGGCTGGGCTGAAGATGGTTGAGTAAGTACATTTCTCTGCCAAAGTTAAGATGATGAACCACGGGTAACCTCGGCAGAATTCTAGTCACCCACTGAAAAGCTGTTAGTGTTTGGTTATTGAGGATCGTCCAAACCATTTTCCTCACAAGTTGGACCCATTCTCTTCGAGGGGCAAGTGCAGCTCCCGTTGCGAGGGCTGCAGGGAGCTCTGTGGACACATTGGCACTTCACGGCACTGTTAGGTCCATACTGGCCTGACCTGCATTCTGTGAGGGAAAAGCAAAAACAAGAGCAATTCAAATATGCTTTTCTATCACACCATCTTTTTACTACTATTTCTTGGAATTCAATAAGATAATGATAGACTTGTAAAGAATTCTGGTTAACCATGTGGTATCTTTTTCCCATGCTAGAATGTTACATAATAAAAGTAAGGATTTTAATGGAAAACAGGAGGAGGCTGGAGAGTGTCAAGGAAGTTAGTGACAAAATTGAAAAGAGGAGAAGACAGGACAGCAACTTATATTTTTAAAGTGCATTCTCAGAATTAGATTATTCAATAGAGTTTATCGCACTGGCATTGTGAGGGACACAGGGAAAATGGATTAGTTGTCTTGAGGTCAGAAAAAGGCAACAGTTGCCCAGAACACACAATATATGAAATTTGTTTTTAGGTTGAAAACACGATTATTTGTATTTATGTTGTTAAAAATGAAATGGCTTTAAATTCAACTCTTCTATCTCTTAAAATATGTCAAAAGGGCCATGGATCCCCTGTGTACCCACCTCTGTGAAATCCTGCTATATGTACTAAAGTGGTAGAACTATTTTTAAATTGAATTGCATTGTGAGTGCAACCAGTAGAGAAATGAAGAGTGGGGATAAAAAGTGTTAGCTTTATCAAAATAACTAAGCATGGACTAAAAAGCCCCCCCCCCCCCGCCCCCCAATATCACATTCCAGCCTGAGCATTTGGTCTTGGTCTGACATCCAGCAGAGAATTAGCAGAGAATTAACAGGTTCTGTTTCTGAAGAATTGTGAGGTTAGGGAGAAAGCCAAGCCCAGCCCATGGAAACAGAAAATGGGTTTATATTTCCTAGTCACTCAGGCAAGACCGGGAAGTAATTCAACTTAGCAACGTTTAAGGACCATAGAAACTTAATTTTGCAATAATAATAGTCACCTAGCTCTATGCTGTTTACCAACTGGGTTCCTAACACATTATCTCAGTTGGTTCTAACAAAACCTGTGAGGTCGGCAAAGCACTAAGGTAAGCTTTCTCATTCTAGAAAGAGAGAAACCAAGGTTTGGTATGGCTGAAGAGATCTTCTCAAATGTTATGTCCCTGGTACCTGGCAGAGCTGGATTTCTAAATTCTCATCTGGTGCTCATTCCTCATTTGAGGTATTAAGCACATGCAGAAGAAAGGCCAAACAAGGGAGTGGAAAGCTGAAAAGTGGAAAATTTAGAAATAATATAAATGTGAAGATACAGTTACTAGAGCAAATTCTGAGTCTTTGGGCAACATTTTGGTAAACATTTCTTTATTGCCTCAAATTTTTCTTTGCTGGGTTGGAGATTCACCTTAAAGTTGGAGTTGGATGATTTTTTAAAATTTTTTGCTCTCTTGGCTAATGAAGGTAGGTTAAGATGAGGTCCAGCTCTCTTGCCTTAATTAACTAGTTAGATTTTAAATATGAGATAAATGGAAACTGATAAATCAGTTTTGTAATTGATTCTTTTTACAGAGGTTCAACATGAGCAAACAGTAATTCAGTCCCTTCCCAAAGGAAGGAACATGAGGTAGGTAAAGGAACTTTGCAGATGATGTAAATGCTGCTCTGAAACTTTTCTTTAAACCATCAAACTTTATGAAAATTAAAAAAAAAAAATCCTTTGCCATTTCAAATTTAACCTAACATACTCACCTCTGCCCAGTGTGTGGGAGGATTACTTAATTTGGTGGTAAGACCTAGTTTTCTTGTTTGAAAAAGTTATGAGTCAGGATCTCTCCTGAGCAGCTCAGAATCTGATTTTAATTTATAAAAATACCACATTTCATGTTAATAACGATGTGTATTTAAGACATCTGTTTGAATGTCTGCAAATGTTAATTTACCGAGGGGGTGGGGAAATAATCCAATAAAAAGCTGCTACATTCTTTTATGAATTAACATTATGGCTATTTAATAGGTCCTTTACCAGAGTTCAAATTAAAATGAGGTCTTTTATCTTTATACTGCCTGCATAGACACAGCTGCTCACAGTTGATATTGCAGATTAACTGTGCCTAATTGAAAAGAAAAATGCAAATAAAAGACCCTGTAGTACATCTGTAGAGGCTGTGGGTACCCTAAAGAGCTCATGACAGGGGGGGCCTTGAGGTGCCCACCAAGAATGGACATATTAATACATAGGACCCACTGTCACGTGGCAATGTACTTGTTCTTGAAAGAGACTATATGATACGGAATTTAGTTCATAGACGATCCATAGAGTAAGGCTTTAATTTCCAGCCTGTCCATAAGCTCTCTTGGTTTAGTGGCTAGTTTTAAGCCACTGCTGAGTGCTGTCCAATAGAACTTTCTGTAATGATGAAAATGTTGTATGCTGTGCTATCCAACACTGTTGCCACTAGCCATATGTGGCCACTGAGCACTTGGAATGTCCTATGTGACTGAGGAGGTGAATTTTAAATTAAACTGAATTTAAATTAAGCAGCAACCTGTGGTTACTGGACAATGCATATTGGACAATGCAGATAGACAACCAAAAGCAATTCTTTTCCTTTCTTCCCATTGAGAGGCAGTGGAGCGGGGATGTTAAACGTCTAGCTCTGGATCCAGATTGCCTGTGTCAAATCCCCAGTCTGTCACTGGCTAGCTGTCTGTCCTTGGACAAGTTACTTAACTTCTTTGTGTTTCAGCTTCCTCATCTATAAAATGGGAATAGTGATGATAATGAAGGCACTTACCATAAATTAAAACGCCTGGCATATAATATGCAATCCATAAACATTAGTGGTTTTCTTAAATATTTAGATGAAACCACAAACACTATAAGCATTCTGCCTTTAGTGAGCATTACATTAGCGACAAGTGCACTGTGGCTTCACCAAGATGTTATGTGGATGTTTATTCTGACAAATTTAGTTTAGATATGACAAGGTTCAGGTCCTTCTATCTACCATGACTCCATGAAGAAGGCCGAAAAGGGAAGAATTCCTTCAACAAAAACGTGCTGAAGACTGTCATGTGCAAGACCTTGCTCTAAGATTTTTAATAAAAGATGAATAAACATGGATCCAATTCTCAAGAAGCTTGCAGTGCAGTGAAACACAAGGTTAGAGATTCAAATGAAGCAGCTTTGTAATAAAGAAATGTCAGCGTCAGTAAGCTCCTGAGTTGGAAGATCTCAAAGAATTCCAAGTCAATATTTATAACCCTTGGCCTTACTCTAAAAGTCAATAAAAAAGGGAAGCTGAAGGGATAGGAAAGAATATAACACTCTTGATGAGCCACTGCAGGTTCCTTACTCTGGAATACATACAGACATTCACACATACAGTACTGCCCACTAATAGGTCCAAAACCAGACTCCTTCGGTTCAAATCTTGGTTCTGCCACTTACTACCTTTCTGTGCCTCAGCTTCCTCATCTGTTGAATAGGAATAAGAACAGCAACAACCTCAAAGGGTTGCAGTAAGAATTGAATGAATACAAGCAAAGTATTTAGGATGGCGTCTGTCATCCAAAGAACGTAGCTTTGATTTATTTTTTCTTTTTATTTCTCAGAAGCAAGGTGGGGTGGGGGAGATGGTGCTGGGTGAATAGTGTTCTCCTGTAGTCAGTCTGGAAGGTTACCACGGCTTTCTCAGCATTATTGAAATCTCAGGTTCGGAATCATAGATTAGTGCTGGAAATGGAAATATCCTTAGTAATGTGTAGCCTCGACCCTTCTTTTTCGGCAGATGAAGAAAGTAAATTCTGTGATTAAATGCTCTACTTAGGGTCATAATCTATGGGAGAGTCAGTCCTTCAGGGCTATTGTGAATTATATAAAACCTTTTCCTCTAGTAATTTTTCATTAAGTTTAATAGCAAATGATGAGTCAACGATTCACTCAATCTACTTTCTCTTCTTCTTAAGACAGTCCTTGAAGATTTAAAGTATTACATTCTGGGTCAATATTTCTGTGAGTGGAAAGAAAAATAAAGCGTAAATCTCATTTCCCAAAGAATACCTGGGAACTTGGTTCTCAAGAAAACTACCTGGACTGTACCCGAATTGTTTTAATTCTAGTGATTTCTCTGAATCGCTTTTGTGATCAGGGTGTTTACATCTCTTTGAGGTACTTACAAGGTGTCCTCTGTCAGTCGTGGTGCTGGTTTTGGGTGCCTGTCATGTCACAGCAACATACCATGATTAATCATCCTAAGGGTAATGTGACAAGCAATATTCTTTGAGTAAAGTTTTTAGTATGAAAATGCTTGTATATCTCTACATAACCCAAGAGACAGAGGGAGGTTATGCGGGACTTTGGCTCATCTCAGCTTCACATCTGGCTCCGGTTCTCCCAGGTGGGAAGAGGCATTTTCCAGTTACTGGATGGCAGAAGGTTTCTCCTTCCCAGTCACAAAGTTAATGGCAATTGTTCCCAAACATTCCAGGTGAACACACTAGCAAGGAAAGAGAAATGCTAAAAAATTAACCCTTTGAGCTTTCACTGATGTACCTAAACTGAGATTAAAGATACAATTTCCTCAAGATTGAGCCCAGATAGCAAGTGGGGTAAAATGAGATTTGTTGGTCAGAAGAAAAGAGGACAATTTTGGAATTCTCAGAAAGAAGTTTCATTTTAAACATGATTTCACTTTCAGGTCTTCAAATCGCCTTACTTTGACGCTTGTTTGTGCCTGTTAGAACGCATGGAAGCTTTTTGAAGACAGAAACTTAAGGAAGGAGACTGAGTCTACTAGCCAAGTGCATTACTTTTAATATTTTTCCTCAAAATGTTATTTATTTAGTTACTGTCTGTTTCCCCAGAAAACTGTAAACTCCACTTATATTCCCAGAACTTAACACTAAATGATAAACGAATAAATGATTAAAGGATGGACAAGAGATACTATATGTAAAGCTCTGGCAACAAATGAGGACATGGCATGGGACTAAGATATAGATCCTTTTTAAAAGCAATAACTTTGATTCACATAAAGTCAAATTACCACTAACATTATATTATCATTATTGTGGTTGTAGTAACCATATGCACAACAGTGTACATAATCCAAACAAAAATGGGACTTCGAGTTATTTGCTGAGTCCTGTGTAGTTTAGCATTGCTTGGAATGGGCATGATCAGAGTCTTTGAGGGCTTTGTAATGTTTTATTTCAAACTGAGTAGCCCAAATTCTCACCTCTATATCTTCATCTATATTCACAGCTATCATAACTTTCTAGTGATAATGTCTAATTCAAGTCTTTAAATTTTTTTGATAAAGTCTTTATATCTATTTCAACACTATTGAACCCAATACATGGCATTCTTCTAAAAGCATTTAATAAAATGTTTACTCTCATTCAGAGGTAGAAGCCTTGTCCATTGAAGACTAACAGCATTAGTGGTGTTTTGAGATACTAAACGATTTCATTTAGGCAACAATAAAACTTTTGGCCAATCAGCAACAAAATCAGAAGGACTCATTATTATATTGGCTATAGAGTGAATTCCTGTCACTTTAATGTCGCAGTGGTAAGATAAGGTGATTATTCTATGTTTTCATTTGGTTTACACGTTTGCTCTCAGATGGAAAAATCTCACAGTCACACAGGATTCCTACATTCACAGGCTTAAAAAAGCTCTGGCTTTACCTTTTTCACACTGGCTGCCATGGAAACCTGCTGGACAAATGCACTGTCCACTTGCTGCATCACAACTGGCTCCATTTTTGCAGTCACAGATGTGAGCACAATTCAAGCCATAAAATCCAGGAAGGCATGCTAGAAAATGGAAATGTCAAAATGCTATTTTGGCTTTAAGAATAAACTGAAGGAAAATTAAAGGATATGCTCTAGGTCATTTGTTTCTCAGGACCAAAGGAGATGAGAGCAGAGAATTGGAAAGTAAGGAAAAATTCTATGGAGAAGTGTATTGACAATAGTTTAGTCATACAGATAAAGGAATATATAAGTGTCATTTTCTACAACTAGTCTAGAAAAATTCGTAAGAAAATTTAAAATAGTTTCAAGTAGATAAATTTTATTTGCCATGCAATGCTATAGTCAGCCAAAGACTTCAACAAAATCTTCCATTAATCTAAATTCCTAAAAAAGCAATGTCTTTAAACTTCAGATCCAGGATAAATTTAGTGAGAATGGTTTGGGATTAAATTCTTTAAATAAATAAGAGAGTATCTGTGAGAGGTGATTCATATAGCTCTTGATATTTGAAGTCAAGGAACGGATGACAGAGGTGGGTATGAGGGAAAGTGGGGAGAAAGAGAAGAAAGGAGACAGCGAATAAAAAACAGAGAATATGATGCATATACAGTAGCTTAACAACTTTCAAGGAAGTTAGATTTTAAAGTCAGTGAAATTTAATCTTTGAAAAACTTCCTTAGATGGCCCATAAAGTACAGTATAGAATTGTCTCTTAGTGAGTCCAGTATAACCTGTTTTTCCTCCATGGTTGGAGAAGATCAATATTTTTGTGGCTGAAGATCAGAAGAAGTAATTGGTTTACACTTAGAGACCATGTAGTTCTTTGAATCCTAAAATTGTCACCTGCTGGGGGAGATGCTCACCCTGAGAGAGCTGTGTGAGAGCGAAGCTTGACTGCAGACAAAAGATTCCCATTTCCTATCTTGAGTTTTCTCCAGGGCTGTGCTCACTACTCACCAATGGAAATGGGAGGGGGATGACATTTCCTTGCCCTTCAGTCATACTCTCCTCTCTCTCTCTCTTTCTATCTATCCATCTCTCCCTCTTTCTTTCTTCGTTTCCTCCCACCTCTCTTTCCAGGCACCTGTTGGATTTGCCTAGGCTTTATGTGTATGACACTTCTTCAGCATGAATGGAGTTACTCAGGACAAAGTCAACATTAGCAAAAACTTGCATTCAGGGAGCAGAAAAAGGAGGTAAAACCAAAAAGAGATAAGGAATAAATTATTTTGTATAATATATACTCCATATATTAAGGTATTAATATATATTCCATTTTATGATCTCATTATAATTCTTAAAAATGAGTAATAAAAGAAGATTCAGTGCAGGATTTCTTTTGTTGGTTCTTGTATAATCGTTTATGCAAATACATAGAAAATTCAAATCTCCTTTATCCTTCTTATTTTAATTATATATAAAACTGAGCTCATAAAGGTTGTCTTGCTTGACTTTTCCATTTCTTTAAATAATACTATTATTTTTTCCCGTTCCCTGACTTAGAACTTTAGAGCCATCTTTGATCCCTCCATCTTCTTCATCTCCATGTCAAAATCAATCAAATACTCGATCAATCAATCAAATCAAAGCAAAATACAGTTAATTGGTCTCCCAGAATATTCTCTGTTCATTAATTTTTTATTCCAGTCCAGATTTCTAAAATCCTAGACTATCACTATAGCTTCCAACATGGACATTACTGATGGCTCCTTTTCCTAATCATCAATAATATACCTACTTTACAGATTTATTTCACCAGAGTGATGTCTCTTGTCTGCTCAGAATCTTCCTTGACACTCCATGGCATGTAGAATGAAATTTATGGGTGTTGAATAGATATTCTTTTCCTCTCTTTTACCTCTTGTTATTCCAATTTTGAAAACAAAATAAACAAGCAAAATCCACAAGATATTTGCTTCCATGTGCCCTGACACAAGAAACCTTAGAGTGCTTGGTGAGAGCCAGAGCTTTAAAAACGGGTCAAAACAACTGGGAAACATTTTAGATATTACTAAGAGCACTTCAGAGCCTTTAAAAGGTTCTTTACTTCTAAATAATTAATATGCATCTATCTTTTGCCACATGCCTCAATGCTAAATGTTTACATATATTCTTCTCATTTAATTCCAGTGATAATCTTTAAGGTAAGTGTTATTGTTATTCCCTTTCTGTAGATGATGAAACTGAAGTTTATAGAAGTTAATAGTTTATACATATTTACATGGCAGCACCAGGCCATATATGACTAATCGTAGACTTCAAGCTCTCACATCTTAATCTCTTAACTGTGTAATCCATCAGAGCTCTCTGACGTCAAAGGCAAATTACTGTATAACTCTCCCTTTTCCTAATTTTAGCTGAAAATATTGAGTCCAAATGAAGAAATGATATAAATAAATATGTTCAAAGGGAACTTGAAGGCAGATCTTTCAGAGGCGAGCCTAGATTAACTTGAGACAAATAAATAGCTTCCGTGTCTATATTTTCCCTAAAGGGACCCAGAGGAAGGAGAATTATTTTGTTCAAAAAGACCAGCAGTTGACTCCTCTGGGTATGACTACTCCAGGTGATCAAAACCACAGAATCGTGTTTTGGGTAGCAGTACCAAAAAGAATAAACAACTCCAATTGCTTCATCAGGGCAGTTGTCAACATCTAGAACTTAAATTAGAGCTATGAAATAGATTGCAAGAATATACACTAAAATATTAACAGTTGTTCTAATTTGATTTAATGTGAGTGCACTATCATGATTTTAAAAAATTTTTAAAGCTTAAAACTTATCAACACCATAATATGCCCACTCATTTTCTCTGTTTACCATGTTCACAGTTTCTTCCATAGTTATCTTGAAGGCACCCACAGCTTCCAGAAAACCTGTTGCAAACTCCATTCTTATGACAGAAGCAGTTAAAATGGCAGCGTGGGCCATCATAACCAGGAGAACATTCTAGAAAAGAAACAACCTGAGCATTACTTCTGGTTAAGACAATGGAATTTGTAATGAGTTCAAAGACAGAAAAAAACAATAAAATTAATGAAAAAATAAAAGCAGACAAATCATTACCTAATCTAATCAAGATAAAAGAGAGAAAGCATAAATATACAGAATTTTTTAAAAATGTAGAGGGCCAGCCTGGTGGCTCAGTGGTTAAGCGCACATGTTCTGCTTCGGCGGCCCTTGGTTCACGGGTTCAGATCCCGGGTGTGGACATGGCACCGCTTGGCACACCAGGCTGTGGTAGGCGTCCCATGTATAAAGTGGAAGAAAATGGGTACACATGTTAGCTCAGGGCCAGTCTTCCTCAGCAAAAAGAGGAGGATTGGCAGCAGGTAGCTCAGGGCTAATCTTCCTCAAAAAAAAAAAAAAAAAATTTAGACTGACCATCAAAAGGAATAGATAGAAAAGTAGAATGCATATAAATATAAAAACCTAAATGAAATGGAAAAGTTAGAGAAGACGACTTACCAAAATTATCCTAATTTGAGGCAGAAAACCTAGACAGGTTAACTACAGTAGAAAAACAAGAGAAAAAATAGTAAAATAGCTTCTGCATTACAAACAAAAAAACTCCATCAGTCCTAGGTTTCACAGGGACCTTCTCTATAGATCAGATTATCACCTCACTACTTACACTATTCCGAAGTATTGAAAAAGAAGGAAAAATTAAGTACATTTTGTTGAGTATAACATCAATTCCAAAACCTGACAAAAATGCATAAAAAACTACAACTCAATTTCACTTACGAATATTGATGCCAAATTCTTAAAAAAACATAAGAACACAGAAACCAACAGCATATTATAAAGTAATATGTCACAGCCAAGCAGTATTTATTCCAAAAATGTAAGGTCATTCGATATTAGAAAATTCATTAATAAATCCATCATATTTACCAGCCTAAAGAGAAAAATCACATTATTGATTCCATAGATGCAGAAAATTTAGTTGAAAAATAAATTTACTAAAAAATTCAGTGAAAACATTGAATAAATTAGAAAATGAATAGCTATATCTTAATATGAATATTAAAAGCCAGCATTTTACTTACTTGGGGAACAAAAAGCTTGAACCAATGGAAAGACAGCCCATGTTTGCTCTTGGATAGGATAAGTTAATGTCATAAATATGTTAATTCTCCCTAAGAGAGAGTGAACACAGAGGACAACAAAACAGTAAAAAATACTTGGCTTTTTTTTTTTTTTTTTGCATCTAGGCAATTTGATTATAAAGTTCATTTGGAAGAACAAAGAAACAAGAATAGCCAGGAAATCCCTGAAAAAGAAGAGCAATGAAGGATGGCTTGCCCTGTCAGTATCACATACATATAATAAATACTCCATAATAAAAATAGTACTGCATTTACGCACAAAAGACCAATAGAACAGAGCATCCGGAATAGTATTTGATGAAGGCTGCATCTCAAGTCAGTGGAAGATAGATTTGTAAAAGCTGCATTATGATAACTGAAAAGCCATATAAGAAGAAAATGGATCTGTTCCTCACACCATAGATCAGCAAAAAACTTTAAAAATGATTATAGAATTAAATGTCAAAAATGACATCATACAAGTATTAAAAGAAAAGATGAGTGAATTCCCCTAAAACTTGAGAATGGGGAATACATTCCTAATTATG